TTTTTTTGCTTACAAAAGAAGAGAAACTGGTCAAGTCTGAAGGTATTCATCCAACTCTTTTGTGCAGTCTACAGTGTGGCGTTTGCTTTCTTTTTTTTAAACCCTTGGTAGGATCTAGCAGCGCAGTCTGCTCTGGCTCTGTCCTATTAACCTTCATCTCAAGTGCTCTCCTCATTTTCATTGGAGTGGAGTTCTGAGGCCCCAGGTGTGCTTTGTTTCTGCTGTCATGTCTCTCTCAGCACTGCCACCCAGAAGCATTTATATCTGTGCTGCCCTCCATTTTACTTCTTTTTTCTTTCCTGGATCCTCATTTCCTTTTACAATTATTATTTTATATTCTACATAGTCCAGTGTGCACGACTTCTTCATAGAAAATGGGTAGCAGGGAGAGATTCAGAAATGCTTTGACAAATCATTAGTTCATCCCCGTACATATCACTCAAAATGCTTTTACATTTTATATAGAAGATGAGTGCAGATGGCAAGTTCAAATGATTCAAAAGGGCAAGCAGTGCAATGCAAAGCTCCTTCCAATCCTGCTTCGGATTTCCTTTCTCTGGATTCAACCATTGGTACTAACTTTACTAATTTTTGTTTATCCTTATAGAAGTAGTCTATGCATATATAAGTAAATAAATCCATTTTTATAGATTTAAAATGTATATTTTGGGACTTCGTGAGGATGGTACAGGACTGGACAGTGTTTCATTCTGTTGTGCATAAGGTCACTATGAGTCAGAATCCACTCGACAGCACCTCACAACACCACCACCAATAAGGTAGTGGGGAACATAGAGATTCTGTAATGGACCATGAACCGCAAGGTCAGTGGTTCGAGCCCACCAGCTGCTCCCTGGGATCAAGATGAGGCTTTCTGCTTCTGCAAAGATTTACAGCCTCGGAAACCCTATACAGAGTCACTATGAGTCAGAACTGACCTGACAGCACTTTACAAAAACAACATGAGATAGTGTTTATTTCTTTTGGAAGTGGTGAGGAAGGCAAGTAATGTTCACACTTATGAAGCATGCTACTTTACTATGATGTTTCTTGGTCCAGTATTTGGTCTTGCCTACCAACATAAGGCTTTATCTTGTATATTACAGTGTTAGTGGTCAGATGTGGCCTATTTCCTGTTGTCAGTTGTGTTGAGTTTCTTACTAATTTTGAACTTACCTATGATTGGGAACATAAAGTACTTGTTTGATAGCAACTGAGGATACCTAGGTGTTTGGATGTGTAATCCAGTAGTTTCTACATGTGTAATTATGTGACATTGGTTATATTCTTGGAGTAGTATAACCATTTCACCTTTTCTGTGTTGTTCTTTCCCCATTGACATAAACTCACTGCCCCTCAAAGTATATAATTTTTCAAGTAGCTGTTGTCAATTTGATCCCATGTAGATCTTAAAAGAGCATAATGTGCAAGGCAGATTTTACTAGTTAAGTTAACCTAAAACAATGTGGTTTTAAGATAGTTTTGGTTTAAGGTGTAAGAGTTACCTCAGGGCAGTAGTTTCAGGGATTTATCTGGCCTCCATGGGTTCCTGGAACTCTGGAGTCTATGAGAATTTGAAATTCTATTCTGCATTTCCCCCCATTTGACTATGATTCTGCTAAAGAGTACTTAACCAGAATGTTCAGTAATGGTAGCTAGGCATCCAGTTTTTGGCAAAGGGGGCAGTTGTTCATGGAGACAATAAGCCATACATTCCATACCGTCCAACTGTTCTTCCTTGTTCCAGGTGATTAGACACCAGTTGCTGTTCACTGGATGGCCACTTGCAAGCTTTTAAAATCCTGTCTTCCTTCATCGTTGTTGTTGTTTACTGCCGTCGAGTCTGACCCATAGCGACCCTGTATTGGGTTTCCAAAGAGCAGCTGGTGAGCTTGAACTGCTGACCTTGAAAATCAATCAACATTGCAGTTCAGCACATTAACACACAGTACCAAATATTTATCACCACATAATTGCCATGGTGAGATTTCTAACACTATTTGATTGTTGTATTCCCTCCTCTAAAACCTTTTCATTTCTTCCAGTTTCCTATAGGTTAAAGGTCAGGTTTATAAGACCTTAGGGTCCTATTTAGATAAAGGCAGTCCCCAGATTATGAATGAGGTCTGTTACTATGTCTTTAAGAATATGTAGATCAGTCAGAACAGGTGTGTATGGTTCTTATTTAGCCTTACATTCATGCAAGAAAAGGCTCCAAGCCTTTTTAGTGATTTTAAAGCAGTGCATGCAACAAGTGAAAGTGATTGTGATGACGAATCTATTGCAAGTAGTGGTTGGTTCTGTCAATTCTAAGTGAGGGCAAATTTACATAAATTAAAGCAGGGCTTCAAAAATGGCAGTGTGCTGCTCAAAGATGCCAGCCAACCACACAAATCTCTGAATTTGTGAGGTCCCCTACAGTCTGTCAGTAATCCGGTATCATGGATCAGGCTCCTGCAAGGACTCACTACATCTCTTCTGAGTCTCTCATTCCAGGGCTTTGACCCATAATTTTCCCTTTTCCAGTTATGGTGATAAATTATCCACTTTGTGAATAATTTATCAGTCTGTTCCTGTTTTCCTTCATTGGCCATGACCAAATATTCCACTATACTTTCTCGTTGTTGCTAAGTACTATCAACTCAGAGTGACCCTTTGTACAACACAGTAAAACATTGCCCAGTCCTGTGCCATCCTCACAATTGTTATAATTGAGTCCATTGTTGCTGCCACTGTGTCAAGTCATTTCCTTGGGGGTCTTCATTTTTCTCAGTGATCCTTTCCTTTACCAAGCGTGATGTCCTTCTTTGGGAACTGATCCTTCCTGACAACATATCCAATGAAGTTTCACCATTTTGCTTTCAAGGAGCAATCAGGTGGTTCTACTTCCAACACAGATTTGTTTATCCTTCTGGCAGTTCATGATATATTTGATATTCTTTGCCAGCACCCTAATTCAAATTCATCAATTCTTCTACAGTCTTCTTTATTCATTGTCCAACTTTCACATGCAGATGAGGCTCTTGAAAATACCTTGGCTTGGATCAGGCGAACCTTAGTCCCCAAACTGACATCTTTGCTCTTGAACACTTTAGAGGGGTCTTTTGCATAAGATTTGCCTAATGAAATAGATCCACTGGTTTCTGTACTGCTGCTTCCATGAACATTAATTGTCTATCCAAGCAAATTGAATGAAGTCTTTGACAACTTCCTTTTTGTCTCCGTTTATTATGATGGTACTTATTGGTTGAATTGTGAGAATTTTCATTTTCTGTACATTGAGGTGCAATCAATACTGAAGGCTATGTAGTCTCTTCATCAGTATGTACGTAAAGTCCTCTTTACTCCCAGCAAGTAAGGTTGAATCATCTGCATATCACAGGTTGTTAATGAGGCTTTCTCTAATTCTGATGCCATGTTCTTCATAGAGTCCAGCTTTTTGGATTATTTGCTCAGCATGCAGACTGAATAAATATGGTGAAAGAATACAATCATGGTGCATACCTTTCCTGATTTTAAACCACTCAATGTGCCCTTTTTCTGTTCAATGACTGACTGCCTCTTGGTCTTTGTACAGGTTTCTTATGAACACAATGAAGTGTTCTGAAATTCCATTCTTCAGAGTGTTTATCCATAGTTTGTTATGATCCACACAGTGGAATGTCTTAGCATAGTAGCTAGAACACAAGTGAACATCTTTTTGTTGTTTTCTATATTTAGTCAAGATCTAGCTGATGTTAGCAGTGTTATCCATCTTGCCATCTTCTGAATCTGACTTGAATTTCTGGTAACTCCCTGTCAATGTATTGCTGCAACTGTTTTTGAATTATCTTTAGCAAAAGTTTCTTACATGTGTTACTGCTGATGTTATTTGGGAGGGTTCCACTTCCATTGGGTCACCTTTCTTTGGAATGGCCACATATATGGATCTTTTCCAATCTGTTAACCAGTTAGTCATCTTCCAAATTTCTTGGCATAAGCGCCTCCAGTGTTTGTATTAGTTTGTTGAAAGATTTCAATTTTTATTTCATCAAGACCTGGACCCTTGTTTTTCTCAGTGCATTCAGTGTAGCTTGGAATACTTCCTTCAGTCCATTTGGTTCTTGAAGATGTGGTACCTCTGAAAAAAAGTGTATGAATTACAGTTCTCCTCTGACACACATGGGATTGCCATGAGTCAGAGGTGAATTGATGACCATTGTTTTAGAAAACAACAACAACAGAATGGTTGGTTAACTTGATTGTTCTTGAGCAATGAATAAGATACATGTGCATATAGGAAAGAGCATATGTCTTTTTAAAAGTACTTTATTACTTAAAAGTTGTAATTTCTGTACTTTTGCTTACAAGAAAAAAAGTGATTAAAAGTAAATTGTCTAAAGCAACTTGTATCATGTTACTGACCTGTTCACCACACTTAAATATGGGCCTAATTATTTCTCACCAAAAGGTCTTTCTCCTTTCTTTAATTTTTATTCTTGTTGTAGTTGTTAATGAACTACAATTCTCTGTTACCCAGCTCTAGTGTCTTCATGTTCTCTCCATCTCTGTGAAAGTACAAAACATCACTTTTAATGTTATTTGTTCATTCGTGTAGAAATTTCAAGTGTCTGTGAATGTATGTGTTTAAAGGATTCAGTTCAAACTGTTAAGCTTGGTGTGTTCAGCCTTGTAGTCCTTTTTCCTATTACCACATGAGCTCTGTACTCCTGCCAAAAGTCTTCATGTTATTCTTGCTTGGAAGTAATCTCTTTCTCTTCTAAATTTTGTGGCACGTTTCATCTGTACTGCAGCTTTCATGTGCTAACCTGTGATGCTGTTATTTGTCTGCATTTTTAGTGTAAAGACTCCACCACAATGAGTTCCTGGGGGTAGTGACCATGTGTTCTATGTGCGTGATGCCCAGCCTAGTGCCTTTTAAATCATTGGTTCTCAATAAATATTGCTTAGGTAATAATTTTGTAAATAAGTAATTTTGATGATTTCTTAGTTTCTTGTAGACTTTTAGGAAAGAAAGATGGATCAACCTAGTGGGAGAAGTTTTATGCAAGTATTATGTGAAAAATACAGTCCTGAGAACTTTCCTTACCGCCGTGGTCCTGGGATGGGAGTCCATGTCCCAGCCACACCTCAGGGCTCCCCCATGAAAGGTAAGAAAAATGGGATTAACACCATTTACTCACTGAAGCTTGTTTAGTTAAACACTCAACTACTAGCTGAAAGATTGGTGGATCGAGCCTATTGACAAGTGCCATGAAGACAGGGCTGGCAGTCTGCTTCTGAAATGTCAGAGCCTTGAAAATCCTCTGGAGCAATTCTATTTTGCACACCTACGATCACTATGAGTCTGAACCAGTTAGATGGTAACTCTGAAACAACAGCAACAACACTTAAGGGGTTAAGTCACAATGGTGCCTTCTTTCCAAATGATTGCTTTTATTTGAAATGATGAGTTAAATAGCCTTTCCCTCTTGTTATGATTTCAGTTTATTTAAGAACCTGGCAGGACTTTCTTAGCTCCGTATGGGTCCAAAGGCATTCTAGGTGCACTTATAAGTCAAGAATAATATTGGAGTGATAATATTTTAAATGTCTTTTCTTTCAAAGAACTTGGAGGGTACAAAGCAGGACAAGGATGATCTGTGCCTTCAAGGACCTTATATTTTCAAAGATAGAATGTTGTTATTGTTGTTATGTGCTGTGGAGTCAGTTCTGACTCAAAATGACCCTGTACAAGGTTTCCGAGGCTGTAAATCTTTACGGGAGCAGAAAGCCTCATCTTTCTCCCGCGGAATAGCTGGTAGTTTCGAACTGCTGACCTTGTGGTTCGCAGCTCGATTCGTAACCACTACACTACCAGAGCTCCTTCAAAGATATGATACCAGTTAGTTTATGTGAGCCAGATGAGTGGCACAGAACTAGGGGAAGAAATTTAGAAAAGGGCTAATTATTAGAGTCAGGAAAGGTTTCAAAACTGAGACGTGAAGTAGTCCTGCAAGAATGAGTAGAATTTGGTTAGAAGAGGAGACAGAGGCATTTTAGGAGAGGGATTTTGGTATGAGCAACAATCTACAACTAGAAATGAGTAAAATGCATTTTTTGCCAGCCTTTTAGTTTACTATTACAATTAACAATCCTTGGAAGTAGTTCTTTGTAACTATGTGGAATTAATATTGAATCTAAGTTTTAGTTCCTGTAATCAAAAGTTAATGAATGTGGGCTAGTTCTTTCTTGGTAATCTGTTTTTCAGGAGCCACTCCCTTTCTAAGAAATTTGATACTAAAAAGTACTAAGTTAAAAATGGTATAATTTGGAGGCTTTGTTCATAAAATTTACCTTCATAAGTCCTTTTATTATGACAAATGGGGAAAAGAGTGGCTGAAGTCTCAGATTTCTCCTTTTTATGTCAGTAGTAAGAATGGTTTGATTGGCTCATGTATTTTTATACCTAGCAACAGAGACTTGCTATCCCAGTTTGTCCAGACTTAAGATTCTGAAACACTTTGATTTTCTCTTAAGGTAATTATTTTTTAAATGAAGTTAATTTTCAGAAGGGACACATTCTATTTGGATATGAAATAGAGGCTGACTGATGGACAAGTATAAGAAAAAAGATGTTGAGTTTTTAATTGGAGCCACTTAAGTAAGGAAGATTTCCTGAATGATATGAACTTGAAGGATAGACTACTTAATTGTGATAATTCCACAGATAGCAAATGGTGAAGATAAAGCATCAGAGAGAAAAATGATCTCCAGAGTGATACTTTTAAAGTAAATTTAAGAAAAGAAAGAACTGAGGCTAATAAGGCAGGAGTTGTGCAGACCAGAATTGGCATGGGTCTGATGTTCCGATGATACTACAGTCTAGTATTCAGATGATGACTCTGCTGTTGGTGATTGTGGTGAACAATCCTTCTGGGAGTTAAACCCTGGAAGACTTGGATGGTACTGCTCCAGTGCTTTCTGATCTCCCCTGGGTTGTAATTGACTATCGCCCCTTAGAAGTACTCTTGGATCCCATTATATCCTGAAGCTTTCAGGTCCTTGTGTAATTTTGTGTAGTTTGGTTTTTACTTCTTGACGATTCCTAGGGGCTGAACATATGTAGACAATGTTTAGGCTAACATAGAAAGTGTCTGTTTCCCTTGATTCAGATCGCCTCAACCTCCCAAGTGTACTGGTGTTGAACAGCTGTGGAATAACGTGTGCAGGAGATGAAAAAGAAATCGCTGCCTTCTGTGCTCATGTATCAGAGCTAGACCTTTCTGACAACAAACTTGAAGACTGGCTTGAGGTATAGTTGTTATATTGCTGCATTTCACCAAAGTGCAGTAATAACCACTGTCTGTTGTTGATATTATTATACTGAATTCTTTGTCTCACTTGAGAGTCTGGTTGCATGTCTTAAATAACTGATTGCTTCAACCTTATTTCTGTGGTGATTTTTCAGTAAGCTTTGTTATTACTAATTTGTTTTTCCTCAGTGTAAAAACCACTGAGGAACTTTATTCCAGGCATCAAGAGGTTAATAGGATTACAGAGGTTTATACTCTTAACAATGTAACAAATTCTACATATTAAAAAAAAATAGTTTATATAGCATGTGTTTGTTCTCTACAATTAGTTTCATATTTATTACTATAAATTGACATACAATTGCTTGAGCATAAACCTAAAATTATAAAAATATATTGTTATTATTGAAATTTGTTCCAAATGTTTTAGAATTTTTCCTTTATTACTAAATCTCTGTTGTGGTTTAACACAAATGATATCTTTTTATTTTGGTGTAACTCTGAAACAAATAAACAGTAACAGCATTTTCTCTTATTATTTTGACATAACCTACCATTAGTGGATAGAAGATAACCTTTAAGAATAAGGGAAAAATAGTTCTTTCTCTTGGATTCATTTTCCTGCCTTAATTTAGGCTCTTATTTCTTGCACAGACTATTGGAACCATTTCCCAATGGGGTTCCCTGCCTCTAGTTTTATCTTGCTTTCCCTAAGCTATCTTCTACATTGTTGCCAGGTTCCTTTTAATAAGGTACATAATTATGACACTTTGCTGCTTGAAATCCTTCATTTACTTTTCATTGCCTAGAAGCTGAGGTCTGAACTGTTTAAGGACAGTCCTTCATCATATGGCCCTTTGCAATTTCTAGAGTTTTATTCTCCATCTTGAGCCAGAAGATTTTATTTATGGTAAACCTTATTCATTTGGGATCCACTGTTCATCTTCTCTTCTTGCCCACCTGGTCACTTCTGTTACTTCCTCAAGATTTGGCTCAAATGGCTTTTGTTCTGTTAACTTGTCCTGACTCTCAGCCAGATCATAATATATTGTAATCACTTGCTTACTTGACAGTTTTCCTACTAGAATGTGAATGTATTCAAAATACAGTTTTTGTCTTTTTGTCACCACCACTCATCATAGTAGGCACTCAAATACCTGTTGAATGGAATCATGAATTAAATGATTGTATCTTAAGGATTAATCAAGGCCACTTGCTCCAACTTTCTCAGTGATCTTGAGCAATTCATTTAATACTTTGGCGCTTCTGTTTTACTCACCCATAAGACAGGGCTGCTGATAAAATTCAGCATTTACTCACCCAGTAGATACTGAATACTATATAAATTTTAACACAGCTTTCTTGTTGAAGAAAAATCTGTAACCTAGTGTTCTTCAGTTTATATTAATCTACTTCATTGTCTTTTGAGACACTTTAATTAACATGCATGTGCTATCCAAAAGTACAGAAAAAAAGTGAAATTTTGAGAAATCCCCCAGAAATTGCTTTAAAAACTCTTTTATTAACACTTTTTTTCTTGTATTTTCTTCTTTATAATAAAAATAAAATACGGAAGATTGTGGTTAGCCAAGAGTTTATAGTTTGTTGTTAATTTAACTGGGGTTGTACAAAAATTATTGTTAATGCTTTACTTAGAGCATAATTCCCCTTCATCTTTTTCTGTCCTTAAAAGAGGTGAGGTAAAGCTAGCCATCATCTTCCATATGAAAGTCCTTCACATGGCAGAGTGACAGTGGGGGTTTGGTCTTTGTGCAGGAAATTAAATTGTATCATGGCCGCATACTAAACTCTTAAGTCCTAGGCCATCGATTCAAAATGTACTATGCATTTGGTCACAAAGGACATCAAACTAGAGAATATGTGCAGACTGGTATGAATTCCTTACTGGTACATAAGGAATATTTTAAACTGAAGATAGTACTTTTTCTCCAAAAGACAGCTCATTTCTTCATTTGTAAAGTGAGGATCAAAATGGCATCCACTTCAAAGGGCTAGTGGTATAGTAGATGAAATAATGTGTGTAAAAACCATTCTCAGAACATACTTCTTGGAACATTCTTGGAAGGAATTGACTTCTACTTGACTTTAGAGCTCCTGGACTGGACAGTACACAGTACTACATCTGATTTAAAGTACAGATGGCTTTTTCTTCCTACCAAGAGTTCTCAACCCTAGATGTCCTTTGGCATTTCCTATGGAACTCTAAAAAGAAATGAATGTCTAGGTTCTACCTGTGAAGCTTCTGGCTCAGTATGGGGGAACCTGGAAGCCAATTTATTCTTAAGCCAATTTATTCTTAAAATTTGAACCGTGGTTTTGATGTACAACCAGTGGTGCTATAGGATAAGAACTGGACCCCTAACCATAAGTTAACTGCTTAGGTTGGCAGTTCAAACCCATCGGCCATCTTCAGAAACCCTCTGTAGGGTTACTACAAGTCGGAATCAACTCGATGGCACTCAACAACCACATAACCAAAAGAACACGTTGATTGTGACTAGGACAGAGTAGAACTGCTCCATGGGATTCCACAGGCTGTAAGTCTTTACGGAAGCAGACTTCCATACCTTTCTTCCTCGGAGCAGCTAGTGTGCTTGAAGAGCCAGTTTTTCTGTTAGCATCAGAATGAGGGCTCCTTATTATACTTACCAGTAGTAGTTACATGTATTGAATGATTTTGTGCTATTAAGTGCCCACTATGCAGTAAGGAGCTCTGGTAGCGTAGTGGTTATGAATCGGGCTGGGAACCTTAATGTCAGCAGTTCGAAACTACCAGCTGCTCCGTGGGAGAAAGATGAGGTGTTCTGCTCCCGTAAAGATTTACAGCCTCGGAAACCCTGTACAGGGTCGCTATGAGTCGGAACTGACTCCATGGCACATAACAACAACATGCAGTAGGGAAAGGAGCTCTGGTAGCGTAGTGGTTATGAATTGGGCAGTGAACCCCAAGGTCAGCCAACTACCAACTGTTCTGCTGGAGAAAGATGAGGCTTTCTGCTCCTGTAAAGATTTACAGACTCGGAAACCCTGTGCAGGGTCACTGTAAGTCGGAACCAACCCCGCGGCACATAACAACAACAATGCAGTAGGGAGGAGTCCTGGTATGGCACTTGTGGGTTAATGCGCTGGAATTCAAAGTCGTTTGAACTGCAAGGTTGGCAGTTCGAGCTCACCAGCCGCTCCTTGGAAACCCTATACAGGGTTGCTGTGGGTCAGAACCGACTCAGTGGCACTTCAACAACAACATGCAGTAGTATGGAGTCCTGGTGTGGTGCCATAGAATATGTACTCGACCTCAAGGTTGGTTTGAACTGCAAGGTCAGCAGTTCAAACTCACCAGATACTCTTTGGAAATCCTATACAGGATCACTATGAATAGGAACCGACTAGATGGCACTTAACAGCAACAACATGCAGTACTGAGAGAGCACAGTGGCTATACAAGATAAGCACTGGACTGCAAACTACAAGGTCAGCAGTTCAAGCCTACCAACCATTCTATGGGAGATTGATGTGCTTCTGTAAAGGTTTAAAGCCTAGGAAACCGTATATGTACAAGGTTTTGAGCCAGGAGCAATACTATGACACTTAACAAGTACAATGCAATAGTTAAGGAGCCATGGGCTAAGTAGTGGGTTAAGTATTGTGCTGCTAATTGCACAGTTAACCACTCCATGGGAGAAAGATGAGACTATCTGCTTTTATAAGGATTTGACTGCCTTGGAAATCCTAGGGAGCTATTCATTCTACTCTGTCCTAGAGGGTAGCTATGATTTGGAACTCATAGGCAGTGGGTTTTTTATGGAGTATTATCCCACCTTTCAGGAGCTTTGGTAGCATAGAGGAGCTCTGGTAGCATAGTGGTTACGAATCAGGCTGCGAACCTCAGGGACAGCAGTTCGAAACTACCAGCTGTTCCGTGGAAGAAAGATGAGGATTTCTGCTCCCATAAAGATTTATAGCCTTGGAAACCCTGTACAGGATCACTTTGAGTTGGAACCGACTCCACAGCATATAACAACAACAACAACATCCCATTTTTCATAGAGTTTACTTTCTATAGGTGTGGAATAAAAAACCGGGTTTCTAAAAGAAGTACCAATTGCTGTGCTCAGTGCTTTAAATGTGTATCTCATTAGCCTTACCACCTATCCTTTACATTAAGTGGGTACCATTTTAGTTTCCATGTTTCAGAAATGGGGAAATGAAGCTAAGATTTAGATGATTCACTAGTTGTGGCATATTGGAAAGAAACATTGCTGTGACTTTTAGATTTCAGATTTGAGTTTTTTGAGTGTGAGACCTTAGTCAAATTATTTACCATCTCTGAGCTTCATGTTTCCTTGTTTGTTAAACTGAAAGTAGTGTAGCTTGCACATTCTCTTGGGAATTGAATGGAATAAGCAATATTAAAGAGAGGAGTACTAGGCAGAGCAAATACTTAAGGCCTGTGAGGCTCATTTCCTTCTGTATTTCCTCCTATGAAGTTGTTAACTAAAGTGGTAACATTGATGGTCATGGTGTCTCTTTCATTATGCAGTATAGATTCTTTTTGTCTTGAAGTAAAAATATTTTCAAGTCGCTACATCTTTGAACCAACCTGAAAATGTTTTCAAAGGTGATTATGACTATACAATTGTGACTCATACTGTGAGGTTTGAGCACATGAATTGCTATCCTGTGCTCTTCTGTAAATCTTTGTTGTTGTTGTTAAGTACTGTTGAGTCGATTCTGACCCAAAGCAGCCCTGCATAGGGTTTCCAAGGCTGTAAGTCTTTACAGGAGCAGAAAGCTTTATCTTTCTCCTGCGGAACTGCTGGTAGTTTCAAACTGCTGACCTTGAGATTAGCAGCCTGATTCATAACCATTATGCTACTAGAGCTTCAGTAAACATTTAATTGGCTTTAATGTTGTACTGGGAAGCAGGGGAGGGGAATAGTGAAAGAGAACTGCAGGGTCCAATCTCAGCACCTTAGGTTGTGTTGTCTAAAATGTCATCTAAACCATCTTTTCCTCATTTATCAAAGAGAGCATCATCATATAGAACAGAATAAAAACTTTGTTCAAGGCAGCTTAGGGACTCTTTCTTTTGTACCATTGATGATCAGTTATATCATTATTTCATAGAGTAGATTAAATCATTTACCAAGCTTTGTGGAGATTACTTAGCCCCCTCAGGTCCATCACTGACCGAGACTCCCTAATTTATGTAGTTGTTTGTCTGGAGACCCATTCACTTAGGTTTTCACGTATATGACTGCTGTTTAAGAGTTCTGATTATTCCTGACATGCTCTTCTTATTTTCTCCCTAGGTCAGTAAAATTGTGTCAAATGTTCCCCAGTTGGAGTTTCTAAACCTGAGTTCCAACCCTCTGAATTTGTCGGTTTTAGAAAGAACATATGCTGGGTCCTTCTCTGGGGTTCGCAAACTTGTGCTCAACAACAGCAAAGCTTCTTGGGAGACGGTCCACATGATACTTCAGGAGTTACCAGAGTAAGCCCAGACAGCATGATGGAGAGGGGGCTGTGTAGCCATCTGTGTTGTTACATACAATTACTGCTGATCTTCCATCTCAGAAATACTAGAACTACAGATTGAGTGAAGAATGAGGTTAGAAAATGAAGTCATTAGAATGATGGTGTTTGGGTCATCTGGTAACATTTCCATTGGAATACTGTCCAAGGTGTTGAGTAGCACTAAAATACAGGATATATCATCCTTTGGCTAGAAAATACCCCTGAGAAGTATGTATCACTTCTAAATCAACCCAACCTTTCTCCATTTTAATCTTCTGATTACCTGATTTAAGTATTTTGCCTCATTAGCCCTTTTCTTTGGGAAGAAAAAAAAAATCACAGTAATCTCTGAAATGTTCACTCTTACATGATTAAGTGTCTAGCTGGCCTGATGGGAAAATGGGCATTTTGATATTCTTTTCAATAATTTAAGCAAAAATTGTATTTTCATTTGTCAGTTTAGAAATGCTTTCTGCATTTTGTTCATATCTGTCAGGTTTTAGTACATATGTGTTCCAAGGTTTAGTACATATGTGTTCCAAGAAATATAGGAAGTTCTTGTTTGTTTTTTTTACTAAAAATGGAAAATATCAAAGCTCTTCAGAATCTGGTCTCACTTTACTAATTCCAGCTTAGTTTCTCACTTTCACTCGAATGAAACAGTTTCCTCGCTGAATGCATCCTGCAGCAGGACATATAGAGAGTGAGCTGTTAAATTCCCGTTCCATTTACTAACCATATGACCTTTGGTATGCTACTTAACCTCTTTGAGCTCAGTTTCCTTGCCTGTAAAATGGAATAATTGTACCTACCTTGCAGAAACAGAAAAGAAATGCAAATTGTCTGGCACAGTGTCTGATGTAGTGTAGGCTTTTTAATAAATGGCTGTTCATGTTGTTTCTGGAATTTTCTGTCTCCTTTCACCTGATTCAAATGATCCCGTCCTTCAAGGCCTTTATTTTAAGTTCAATTTTAGTTTCATTGTTACATGAATTGGTACTGTGCTCACAATTAGTGCTGCTTTAATTTATTACTTAGTTTTTAAGCATAAAATTAGTATTTTGTTGTTATTAAGTACCATGGAGTCGGTTCCGACTCTTAGTGACCCTGCACAGGGTTTCCGAGACTGCAAATCTTTATGTGAGCAGAAAGCTTCATCGTTCATCCCATGGAACAGCTGGTAGTTTTGAACTGCTGACCTTGAGGTGAGCAGCCCGATTCGTAACCACTACGCTACCAGAGCTCCTATTTTAGTATTTGTTGCTATTGTTAAGTGCCTTGAGTCGGTTCTGACCCATAGCAACCCTTTATAGGGTTTATGAGGAGCCCCTGGTGAGCTTGAGCCACCGACCTTGCAGTTCAAACGGCTTTGCAGTCCAGCGCATTAACCCACAGCGCCATACCAGTTTAGTATGTTGTTGTTGTTATGTGCCGTGGAGTCTATTCAGACTCATAGCCACCCTGTACAGGGTTTCCGAGGCTGTAAATCTTTATGGGAGCAGAAAGCCTCATTTTTCTCCTGCGGAACAGCTAGTAGTTTCGAACTGCTGTCTCTGAGGTTAGTAGTGCGATTCGTAACCACATGGGCCTATATAATTCCCAGTTATTTTATTTATTTTAAGTTTTGTCTTGTTTTGAGCTCTAGGAAGAAATCTTTGTTTCCCTTACAACATGTAGCAGAGATTCACAAATAGCAAACACATTTATTAATTGAATGAAAATAAATGCAACGTAGAGACTTCACTGCTTTAAACAATGTACTTATTTCCTTTTTTCTTTGCAGTTTGGAGGAGCTTTTCCTGTGCCTTAATGACTATGAAACAGTGTCTTGTCCTTCTATTTGCTGTCACTCTCTTAAGCTACTGCATATAACAGACAATAACCTCCAAGACTGGACTGAAATACGGAAGTTAGGAGTTATGTTTCCTTCCCTGGATACCCTTGTCCTGGCCAACAATCATTTGAATGCCATTGAGGAGCCTGATGATTCACTGGCAAGGTTATTCCCTAATCTCCGCTCCATCAGCCTTCATAAGTCAGGTTAGTACAGGCTTCTTCTCATTCTATATTCAGATTAAGTTTAGGTATGAATTAAAATCAAACTATGTTTCTTTCAGTCATATCCCAACCTTCTTATAGGATGAATTTTCATTGGTACTGTGGAGATGTCTGTTGATTAGCTAAATCTAAGGCATTTTCATAAATGCTCTTATATACTGCTATGCCAATTAGTATTTATTAGAATTTGTAATTTATATACTAAAGGTGTCATGCTATGAAAGGAGTGAAATGAAACTGATGTATTAGGTAGTAAAAGGCAGTGTAAACAAAGAATTATGTAGTAGAGTAAACATTTTATCTTGATTTAGGGTGAGCAATCCCAACCTGCTGTGCTTTTTCAAATATTTGCTGTACTTTTCTGTGATTTCACAGGAGTGAATATTTTTAACATATTTCTTAAAGCAACTACATAACTAATAATAGCTTTAACCTATATCTGAAACAGTGTAAAACTTCAGTTGTAAGTTTGCAAGCTTCAGTTATAAATTTTAAAACCCAGCATTTTACCTAAGGAAGCGATTTATTTCCTAATTACAGCATTTTACCTAAGGAAGCGATTTATTTCCTAATTCCGCGCCTCTTAAGCTAACTCTGTTCTTCCTTCTGGATGGAAATGCCTTTCTGAAAGGAAGAGGATTGTTGTGACTTGGGATAGTTATACACCAGCGCCCTTATAAATTGCTTCTCTGTCCTTTCTTTTGCTGAAGATTGATAGAAGTAGGAAGGGACTATGTTGTACTCTGAAATGGAGTTAATGTGTTGCCAAACTAACCAGCTACATTATACAGGAGTGTTTTCTCCACCAGTGCCAATTATGGGCTGGGTTGATACATTTATTCACAGTTATAGGGAGAGTTTCATTTTAGTACTGAAAAATTTTTAATGCATGTGCCCTTATTTTGTGTGTGTGTGTATGTGTTTGATTTTAATATCATTTTGAACTGGTTTTCCCTGTTCCCCAAATCAGGGCAGTTTGAAAGATGGTAAATAGTTTTGGCTCTGTTGACCTTGTCCCATTTTAGAAGTTGTCAGATAAAATTTTGATTATGGCAGTATTAATTAACTCTGATCAGTACTATGGTTCTTTGTTTTGTTGTTGTTGTTTGATTGGGTAGTTAAGTGAAGTGAGTTGGTCCCATCAGTCTTTTTTTACCGTTTAGTCATGGAATGCATCCTGCATGCTGAAACCTGCAGTGACCCTTTTGCAAGCACTTTTGGTGGAAAACAAGTGAAAGAGTAGATGTTGGAAGTAAGGCTCCATCTCCTTGACCCACTGGGATCACAGGGATAGGAGAGAGACTATAGAAACATTTTTATGTGTTATACTGTATTTCACTTTTTCCTTGAGTAAGTAAAAATTTCAATCTCTCTAGCTTTAGTTAAAAGATCATTTTAACATTTCAGAAATTATTCATTGAAATGTTTTTGCTATGTTTTATCTTCTTATTTTTACGCTTTTCTGGATTTACTTAAACACTGTATTTCCCAAATTAGGTTTGCATTCTTGGGAAGACATTGACAAACTAAATTCATTCCCCAAACTCGAAGAAGTGAGATTATTAGGAATTCCTCTTCTGCAGCCATATACCACTGAGGAGCGAAGGAAGCTGGTGGTGGCCAGGTCTGTTGTTGTTTGGCTTTCTGTTCCCTTCCTGTTTCTCTTAGGAACCTTGGGAGCACAATGGTTAAGCGCTCAGCAGCTAGCTAACTCTACTAGCTGCTCTAAGGCAAGAAAGATGTGGCAGTCTGCTTTTGTAAAGATCATAGTTTTGGAAACCCTGTGGAGCAATTTCACTGCTCACAGGGTTGCGGTGAGTCTGAATTAGCTCAAATGCAAGGCGTTTGTTGTTTCCTTAAAGGAATAATGAATGCACTACAGGCATACCTGGGAGATACTGTGCGTTATTCAGTTCCAGACCACTGCAGTATGGTGAATATCCCAAACAAAGCAAGTCACACTAATGTTTTGGTTTCCCAGTACATACAAAAGTTATGTTTGCATTATAGTGTAGTCTACTAAGTATGCAATATTATTATGAAAAGCATTATGAAATATTGTGAGACTCAACCAAACTGTGACACGGAGACATAGGTGAACAAATACTACGGGGAAAATGACACCGATAGACTTGCTCAACGCAGAGTTACCACAAGCCTTCAATTTGTGAAAATGCATTATCTGCAGAGCACAATAAAGTGCGGTGAAGTAAAAGGAGGGCTGCCCATATCTGAGAAGAGTTCCCTGGAGCGCATCCATCTCTTGAACAGACTGTGCTTAAAAACTGCCCTGGAGCACCAAATCCTATGCAAAAAGGAATGTAGTATGATACGAACAAATGTGAAATTGAATTGGCCTTCCAAGACCGATGAAAAATTGCCTCACATTTATTCCATTTTCATACTTTTTGATATTTAGAATATTTGAAATCCTATTTCAGGTCATGAAAAAAATTGCATATAATAGGGAATTGGGCATTGTTAAGTGCCATTGATTAGGTTCCAACTCGTAGCAACTGTAAGGAGCAGCTGGTAGGTTTAAACCACTGACCTTCCCAGTCTAGTGCTTATCCTGCAATGCCACACCAGGACTCCAATTGGGAATTCGTTCTATTCTGTTATTGTTGTTAAGCCCATCAAGTCAGTCCCGACTCATAGCCATCTATATAGGGTTTCTGTGAACTGGCTGGTGGGTTTAAACTGCTGACATCGCAGCTAGTAGTCCGGTGCTTAGCCTATAGTGCCACACCAGGAATCTAGTTTTATTTTAATTACCTTTATTTTTTCTGTTAACATAAGGTGTGGCACTGTGGTTAATGTGCCAGACTGCAAAGCCATTTGAACTGCAAGGATGGCAGTTCAAGCTCACCATCTACTCCTTGGAAACCCTATACAGGGTCGCTATGGGTTAGAACTGACTCGACGGCACTTCACAACAACAAAAAGCCAAAAAGAAGATACAAACCAGTTGCTGTCACATTTATTGTGATTCATAGTGATTCTGTGTGTGTGTGTGTGTCAAAATAGAACAATGCTCCATAGGGTTTTCAGTGGCTGAGTTTTTTGAAAGTTGATCATAAGACTTTTCTTTCAAGGTCTCCAGTCTTCTAGTTATAATCGAGCCCATTAATCATTTGTATCCCCCAAGTACAATTTAAAGTGTTGTTGTGTGCTGTTAAGTTGTTTCCAACTCATAGCAACCCTGTATAGGATTTCTGAGGAGCAACTGGTGAGCTTGAATCACTGACCTTGTGGCTCAAACCAACCTTGCAGTCCAGCGCATAAATTGGGTTATTTTATTAGTGTAAAATTTAGGGAAGCAGCATCTGTATTTTTTTCTTGAATATAGATTTAATTTAAATATGGCTACCATTATTGTTATCTTGTCAACCTTGTGGTTCAAACTGACCTTGTGGCCCAGTGCTTATCCTACAGCACCACACCAGAACTCCATACAAGAGACAAAATGGTGAAAAGGTATTGGACATTACCAAACACCTTGAGGCAACAAGTTGCTGGGCCTTGGATCTGAGGACCATCATCTCAGGGGATACCATGGTCAATTGGCATAACGTGGTCCACAAAGACAATGTTTTCTGTCCTACTTTGGTGATTAGTGACTGGGATCTTAAAGCTCATAAACAGTCATCTAGGTACAGCTATTGGTCTCCATGTGGGGAAGAAAGAAGAGTGATAAAAATTCAAGATGCTTGGACTCAATTAGTCCAGTGGGCTAATGGAACACGTAAACATCAGTCTTCATGACTTTCTGACCAGAAGAACTAAATGGTGCCCAGTTACCAGTTACTCAGAAAGAGTTCATATTAAAAGGTCCTGGATAGAGTAGAATACAAGGTGCAACAAAACTTGAAATGATTTAAAACAAAACAAAACAGACTTACTGGTCAGAAAGAGACTGGAGGAACCCAAGACTATAGTCCTTGGCTACCCTTCAGGTCTGGAATGGAACTCACCTTTGTGGCCCAATTTTCAACCAAGCAGTAGATTGGTATATAGGGGGACAACAACATTAGTGAGGTATGCTCACCATGAAACGGTCAACTGTTCAAGCTTAAAAGGGCAACATTTCCTTGGGGACAAGGTTCAGAGGAGTTGGGGAGGAGGATGACATAGAAATGGAAACTTCAGGGAGGAAGTGGGATAACTATTGTTACATGGAGGGGATTGTTATCGCTGTTGTTAGGTGCCATCGAGTTGACCTTATGCACAGCAGAATGAAACACTGTCCGATCCTGGGCCAACCTCACTACTGTTGCCACGCTTGAGTCCATCGATACTGCCACTTGGCCAATCCATCTCGTTGGGGGTCTTCCTCATTTTCTCTGACCCTCCACCTTACCAAACATGATAACCTTCTCCAGCGATTGGTCCCTCCTGACAATATGTCCAATGTATGAGAGACAAAGTTTGGCCATCTTGGCCACCAAGGAGCACTCTGGCTGCATTTCTTCCAAAATGGATCTATTGGTTCTATGGGAAGCCCATGGCACTTTCAATATTCTCCTCCAACACCATAACTCAAAAGCATCAATTCTTCTTCAGTCTTCCTTAATCACTGTCCAGCTTTCGCAGGCATATGAGGTTATTGAAAATACCATGGTTTGGGTCAGGTGCACTTTAGTCTTCAAACTGACATCTTTACTCTTCAACACTTTAAAAAGGTCTTGTGCAGCAGATTTGCCTAATGCAATACGTCCTTTGATTTCTTGACTGCTTCTTCCTTGAGTGTTGATAGTTGATCCAAGAAGTTAGAAGTCCTTGACAACTTCAATCTTTTCTACTTTGATAAGAATGTTGTTTATTGGTCCAGTTGTAAGGCTTTTTGTTTTTTTTACATTGAGATATAATCCATACCGAAGGCTGTGCTCTTTGATCTTCATCAGTAAATGTTTTAAGTCCTCTTCACTTTCAGCAGGCAAGGTTGTATCATCTGCATATCGCAGGTTGTTAATGAGTCTTCCTCCAATCCTAATGCCACATTTTTCTTCATAGAACCCAGCTTCTCAGATTATTTGCTCAGCATTCAGGTTGAATAAGTATGGTGAAAGAATACAACCTTGTCACACACCTTTCTTAATTTTAAACCATTCAGTGTTCTCATGTTCTGTTCAAACAGCTGCCTCTTGATCCATGTACAGATTCCTCATGAGCACAATTAAGTGTTCTGGAATACTCATACTTTGCAATATTGTGCATAGCTTGTCAAGATCCACACAATCAAAAGCCTTTGCATAGTCAATAAAGCATAAGTAAATATCTTTCTCATATTCTCTGCTTTCAGCCAAGATCCATTGCACATCAGCAATGATATGTCTCGTTCCACGGCCTCTTCTGAATCTGGCTTGAACCTCTGGAAGTTCTCTGTCAATGTATGCTTGCAGCCATTTCTTTATTACCTTTAGTAAAACTTTACTCGCATGGGATATCAAAGAGATTGTCCAATGATTTCTGCATTCCGTTGGGTCAGCCACCTCTCTTGGGAATGGGCATAAGTATGGATGGATCTCTTCCAATCAGTCTGCCAGATAGTTGTCTTCCAGATTTCTTGGCAGAGATGAGTGAGTGCCTCCTGTGCCGCCTCACTTTCTTAAAAGATTTCTGTTTTTATTCCATGAATTCCTGGTGCCTTGTTCTATGCCAGTTCCTTCAATGCACCTTGGATTTCCTCCTTCAGGATCATTGACTCTTGATCATATGCTACCTCTTGAAAAGGTTGAACATTAACCTTTAACCTTTAACCATTAACCTTTTGGTACAGTGACTCTGTGTATTCCTTCCATCTTCTCTTAATGCTTTCTGCATCATACAGTAATTTGCCCAGAGAATCTTTCAATAACGAAAGTCAAGGCTTGAAATTTTGTCTTCAGTTTCCCCAGCTTGAGAAATGCTGAGTGTGTTCTTGGTTTTCTGATTCCAGATCTTTGCACATTTTGTTGTAATATTTGGCTTTATCTTCTCAGGCTGATCTTTGAAATTTTCTGTTCATCTCATTACTCCCATTTGCTTTAGCATCTCTATGCTGGAGAGCATTACTCCCATTTGCTTTAGCATCTCTATGTTCAGTGTCTCTTCTAACATCCATTTTGTCCTTTTCCTTCTTTCTTGTATTCTTAATGACTTTTTGCTTTTTTCATGTATGATGTTCTAAATGTCATCCCACAACTCTTCTGGTCTTCGGTCTTTAGTGTTTAACGTATCAAATCTGTTCTTCAGATGACCCCTAATTTCAGGTGGGGCATATTCAAGGTCATATTTTGTTTGTGTACTTGTTTTCATTTTCTTCAGCTTCAGTTTGAATTTGCATATGAGTAATTGATGGTCTGTTCCACAGTCTGCCCCTGGCCTTATTTTGACTGATGATATGGAGCTTTTCCATCCTCTCTTCCTGCAGATGTAGTCAATTTGATTTCTATGTAGTCCATCTGGTGAGGTCCATGTGTATTATGCTGCCTAAAGAAGGTATTTGAAATGAACAAATCATTGATTGTGCAGAATTCTATCATGTATTCTCCAGCATCATTTCTATCACCCAGGTCATATTTTCCAAATACTGATCCTTCCTCTTTTCTCCCAACCTTTACATTCCAATCACCAGTAATGATCAATACATCTTGATTGCATGTTTAATCAGTTTCAGATTGAAGAAGTTGGTAGAATTCTTCCATTTCATCCTTATTGGCTTTAGTAATTGGTGCGTAAATTTGAGTAATAGTGGTATTAACTGGACTTCCCTCTAGGCGCATGGATATTATCCTATCACAGACAGCTTTGTACCTCATGACTGATCTGGATATGTTCTTTTTGACAGTGAATGCAACACCATTCTTCTTCACTTTGTCATTTCCGGCATAGTAAACCATGTGGTCATCAGATTCAAAACGGCCAATGCCAGTCCATTTCAGCTCACTAATGCATAAGATATCGATGTTTATGCTTTCCATTTCATTTTGACAACTTCCAATTTTCCCAGATTGATACTTCGTGCATTCCATGTTCCGTTTTTCAGTGGATGTTTACAGCTGTTTCTCTTCATTTTGAGTTCAGCAAATGAAGGTCCCATGGGCTTTTCTCCCGTGGGCTTTACTCCATCACGTCATCATGGTAAACTCTACTTTGAGGAAGCAGCTCTTCCCCAGTCGCATTTTGAGTGCCTTCCAACCTGAGGAACTCATTTTCCTGCACTATATATGACATTGTTTCTCTGTTGCTCGCAAGGTTTTCAATGACCAAATATTCAGAAGTAATTTGTCACTCCTCTTCCTAGTCTGTCTTCATCTGGAAGCTCATTTGAAACCTGTCCATCATGGGGTGACCCTGCTGGTGTTTAAAATACTGGTGTTGTAGCTTCCAGAATCACAGCAACTCACAAGCATCACAGTATGACAAACTGACAGATGTGTGGTGGATGGAGAGGATTACAGTCATTTAAATGATTTATTGGATAGAAAACTGATGATCTGCTTTGTAATCCTTCACTCAATGCAGAGTAAAAAGTTTCTTTAAAAAATTGAACTATATTAGATCCCAACTTTAGTAACTTTATCAAATATCAATGATAATTTTATGATCTTCCATCAGTGTCTGGACTTCAGCCAGCTTCTTTATTTATTCATGCTGACAGTCTTCCCTCTGTTGGTTCATCTTTGAGGTCTTCCCAACTTTTCTTAAAATGCTTGATCCATCTAATTATGTGGGCCAGCATTCCTGTAAACTTGTTACAGAGCTTCAGTGATTTGGGAAGATGTTCACTTGATTTTTGTTCAAAATTTGACAGTAAATTTTTACCTCAAAATCATTTTTTTCTGTGGCATAAAAGTATCTGCTACTTGAAGGCACTCTGATGAGACTAAGACAAGTGTATTACAAAGAGAAGTTGCCTGCAGTTGTTCACTAATCACAGAGACATGTTTATCATGTTTTGTTTAAAATAAGCCCGTGCATATATGAACTGGAACCCTGGGAGCAATACTGACATATTCTCATAGATACCAGATTTTGAATACGTTATGTAAAAAAGAATATTAAATGTCCCGTTCATTATTTTTTAAATATTGATTACCTTTTTGAAATGACTGTGTTGTTGTTGTTAAGTGCCGTCAAGTCGATTCCAACCCATAGCAACTCTGTATAGGGTTTCCAAGGAGCAACTGGTGAGCTTGAACCACCGACCTTGCAGTTCAGACGACTTTGCAGTCTGACACAGCAGCCTACAGTGCCACACCAGGACTCCTGAAATAACTAGATGGTGTATATATTAAGTTAAATAAAATATTCATATTATTAAAATTAATTTCACCAGTTTAATTTTTTGAATTAGCACCTTGAAAATTACATGTGTGACTTGCTGGTCTAGAATCTTAGTTTAAATGGTGAGGTGTGATGGTAAAATGTCTGTGACCTTTCCAAAAAGAAACCTGTAATCTTTCATATTCTTTTATACTGTTTAGTTCAGACCAGTAGTCGTATGGAAGCAGAGTCGCTGCATCCAATGTGTTGTTTTTAGAGAATAAGACTAGGCCTCAAACCAATGATTTTTACATATCTAAATCTGCATATTTTTAGTATTTTATGTTTTATTTTGGTTTTGACTTCTAGGTTGCCATCAGTTTCCAAACTTAACGGCAGCGTTGTTACGGATGGTGAACGAGAAGATTCTGAGAGATTTTTTATTCGTTACCACATCGATGTTCCACAGGAAGAAGTGCCATTCAGGTAAAGAGCCCTCATCAGATTGTAAAACAATTTAAAGCATGTTGAGGTAGTTTAAGAGCTGTTGTCTCAGAGAAATATCGAATCATTTGTTATTGGGTTCTTCTTAGAGGACTTTGGTAATAGGTTATAAAAAAACGGGGGATGGGGGGAGCAACTCAAAAGCAGTCCTGTTTGATCTCATTTCTTCTAGGCTTGCACTTATATTTAGAATGACTGAGTAAGTATTTGACTGCTTTCAATAGTTCTCACTCCACACTCCATATCATTGATTCCTTTTTCATCTGCTTCACTGGGGGCATGTTCTCACCTAGCCCCAAAATACTCACATTACATCTATGTTTAAGTTATACTAAGTTCTATAGTTTGGAAAATGAGGCAAATGTACAATTTAGAGGATATGGGAAAAGCTCTTGAAAATAAGCTTTTGAGAAAATATTCAAGGAACTAGGATAGTTGAGTAAGAAGAAAAATGTTAAGTGCCCTTCAGACAGTTCTGACTCATACTGACCCTGTGTAGGGTTTCTGAGGAGTGGCTGGTGGGTTTGAATCACTGACCTTAACGTTAGCAGTCTAGTGCTTATCCTACAACACAATACCAGTACTCCAATGGCTAAATTAGAAATTTTTAATTTAGCAATTGTAAGTCTATGAAAAGTTCATAATTTTCTTGTAAAGAAGTACTTTTAATGTTCTGAAACTATAAAAAGATCTAGACCTGCTGTTGTGGAGTTCATTCTGACAGAGTAGATCTGCCCACAGGGTTTCCGAGGCTGCCACAGCTTTCTCCTGTGCAGTGGCAGCTGGGTTCAAACCACCAACCTTTCAGTTAATGGATGAGCACTTTGTCACTGTGCCACCAGGGCTCTATCATAGGGATGATACAGGTAAAGATATAAGAAATAAGACTCCTCCAAAACGAGGGTTCTAGGTTTTGGTTAGTAACTAGAATAGTTACCAAAAAATTATGTGCTTCTTTCCTTATCATGACTTTTAGAATAATGTGTATACCTATTGGACAGGGGGCTTTTCAGACAGGTTTGATGGTAGGTAGGGTGAATGTGAGTCAAATCATTTGGTCCTCTGGTTACATGTGTTTGTGATTCCTACTGATTTTTATTGAACACATCTATTTTTTGCCCCAGAAGTTCTCTGCTATTCACAGATTTTGAGGTCAGCATTTTGTAAGTCTCAGTTGGTGCTGCATCATCAATTTTGTGGTATTAGTAGTAATGTTTCAAAGACTAAGTGTTAAAAAAATTAGACAAATTGAGTAAGGAATTTGAAGATAATCTTTAAAAATTAGTTAAGAGCAACAAGATAGGGAGAAATAGATCTTACAGTGCATTTTAACACAACCCAGAAATGCTAGATTAAACCAAATTGAATTGTAGTTTTTTTTGTTTTGTTTTTAGGGGGAGAATTGTTTAATATCTTTGATTAGTTCAGTTTAATCTAAATATTAATTGAAGAATCTTAAGATATAAATATTCTTATATCTTAAAAGTCTCTCATTACAGTTTACTGAACTTCCAGTCCACTATAAGAAATAACGTCTCTATAGACAATAAATTGTTTCCTGGCCCTGATGGTGTAATTATCCTAAAAGTGCAGTTTTGCACCCATACTTGCATCTTGAGTGAATAGTCGATAAATCAACCTTGATTAGCTTTAATCAAGAGGGGAACTTGTTGTAAGGACAGCGGGAAACTAAAAGAATTGTTAGGCAGACTGGAGAACGAGCTTAAACATTAGGGAGTGGGGGAGACAGGACAGCCAAGTTGTCAACTCAGTCTGCTTTATCTATTGCTGCTGCCCCATCATCTTTAGACACTACAGTGCTGGACTGGACTACTGAATGCCTGCAGACATATCATTAGACTTTCCTTCCCCTCATGAGTGCTGAAAGTAATCTCTCTGTGATCTTTGAGTCAAAATCTGTGTGGAACCAATTGATTGGCTGTGTTTAGAGCATGTACTAACACTCTGTCTCTCAAGGGTTAACCAAATCCACTGCCACTTAGTTGGTTCCGACTCATAGCCACCCTATAAAGGGTTTCTGAGGCTATAACACATAAAGACTCATCTTTCTCTCACAGAGTAGCTGGTGGGTTTGAACCGCCAGCCTTGTAGTCAGCAATCCATTGCTTATTCTACAACACCACCAGTGCTCCTTCCCCAGGGATAGGGAGGGGGCATTATTTGCTCCATGTTGGCTTCTGGAGTCCTGGTGTGGTTCTGCAGGATAAGCACTGGATTGCTAACCACAGGGTTGGTGGTTCAAACCCACAAACTGCTCCTTGGAAACCCTATACAGGGTCGCTATGAGTCAGAACTGACTCTACAGTACTTAAGAACAACAGTGTTGATTTCTATAGTGGGAGGTAGACTCTTGCTTGCTTGCCCTGATCTTAGGATTTTACCCCCAGATAGAAAACAATTCAGCAAAACTACGTTGTTGTTGTTGTTATGTGCCATGGAGTCATTTCCGACTCATAGTGACCCTGTACAGGGTTTCCGAGGCTGTAAATCTTTACGGGGGCAGAAAGCCTCATCTTTCTCCCGCGGAACAGCTGGTAGTTTCGAACTGCTGACCTTGCGGATCGCAGCCCGATTCGTAACCACTACGCTACCAGAGCTCTGCCACTTAGACTATCTAGCATCTGCTACTTAGACTATCTAACATCTATGCATGACTTTTCCTTGAAGTTATATTTTTTTAAATGTATTTATATCTTCCTTAATGTATTCCATGTACAAATGAAAATACATTTACTTTCTTTCTGAAATTAGATAACCCAGAGTCTTACCAGTTGCTGAATATTGTACCAAGTCTTGAAGTTTTTGATGGTATCCATTTCTCTTTTATTTCTATGCCCTGCAAACTGTTAACTCAATTATAAAATTAACTATCTCAACAGACGCTTTATAAAATAGCAAGGAAAATGAAGAAGAAAGGAGAATTATTTAAAATTTATAAATACTCACAGAACACAACAAGGAATGCAGTATAAGTATGGATTGGTGTGCTCGTTTTTATACAGAGGTCAGGAGACCATAACTGATATTTACAACTTCTGTCTTCCATTCCTTTCCCTTTGCCTTCAGATAATTGTGCCAACTTAGTGGGTCTGGGTTCTTTACCAGCTGGAAGACATTTAAGCCTTTTTTTCTGTGGCATTTGCACCCTTGGTATTACCTGTATGCGGTTTCAGTTGTCTTGCATTATTATTATTACCACTAGGCCTGGTAATGGGGCCCTCAGGTGGCAACGTAGGATAAGCACTGGACTGCTAACCACAAGGTTGGTGGTTCAAGCCCACTGGCTGCTCCTCTGGAACACTACACAGGGTCACTATGAGTCGGAACCCACTTGACAGCACTTAATACCACCAAGAGGCCTGGTGGTAATGCATGAGACACTATCAGAGATAGTGGGTTCTATCTGGGTTCTATCCACATGCCGCTATTATCTCTGCTGTGTTTCCCCTTGAGAGTAAGCATCAGTTTCCTCAGATGATAATGATGGTGTTTTTGTTTTCATTAGGGGGGGCAGGGATAGCTTTGTGTATAGAGATTTCTAGAACCGAAAATGGGTAGTTGGAAGTCTTGCCTCCCAGTTCATTGTAGTAATTACTGTAGTACTGGTGAAGACATTCTTCTCTGAGATTCTAAGACCTCTAAACTGAACCACCTTAGGGTTTATAGGTAGAGAATGGATCCAGGGATAGTGTGGGCGACACAATAATTTTCATATTCCTGTGTCCTCAAATCTTTGAATTTCTTCTTTCACATTATCCTAAAAAATCTGTGGCATCTCAGTGTACTTTAGTGCAGACTACCATTGTGCCCGGTTTCCAGTAAGCCACCTAGATAAACATTTAGATTCACTCCCAGTCAGTGGAGCAAGCTTTTGAATTCAGAATCTCAAGTTAGTTTTCCTACATCAACAAATTCAGCTAGGTCTAAAATTGTTTTTCCTTCCTTGGTGTAATGCACTCAGAATCTGAGTCTGTAGTTATTTTCCGTATTTTGATCTTTTAAATAACCAAAGTTTAAAGATTCCTTTGGTGTTTTTGTATTTAGCCACACAGAACATACTGTGATATGGTAGTAGTGGAGCAGGGTGTATTTGTGGAAGGGTGAGACTAATAGGAATTTTGTTTACTCTTACACGCATGGCACTTACTGCCTTTTCCAGCAAGATAAAACCTCGCTCATTAAACAAGGGAGAAAAGGCTATTTCAGCTAGCGAGGGGAGGAAAAGGTTAAGTGAGGTTAGGGATCCAGGGTACTCCCAAGTCCTCAGAGTCCTCTAACATACCCCATTCCGCTTTGTTTTTTCCAATCAGTGCAACTTTCACATAATAATCTCAACAAGGATACGCATTTAACTGGCTTGTAATTATGTAATCTTGGTGCATCAAACCTTGTTTATTTGATTTGCTTGATTTTCTGTTGTGTAAGAGCAAAGATCCTTGTTTAAAATACCTAGGTTTCATTCGGTGCCTCACATTCTTTCTTTTAACTATCTTGTATCCTTAGAATAAGCACAGACTCTAATTAATGGTTTTAAATTCTTACTGATCTTTTCTGGACAGCATTCTCTCAATGACACAGACAATAAATTATTAGCTATTTCACAACTTGTCATGGACTTGCAAAATCCCTTCCATAAACATTAACATGATACTCACTGACCTCTACTAGGCCAGAAACCAATCCCACATTGCACTTAATTGCCTACAGTATACTCCCTTGTACCAGTTTCTTAGTGCAAACTACAGAATCAAGTCTGGTCAGTCTATGAAGGAAAGGAATTTAGTAACGAAATAGTGAGTTTTATGGAGCTCACAGAATTGACAAGAAGATTATAGAATTAGACTTAGGAAGGAGTGAGTGATGCAAGGCATAGCCAAGACTTCCGTACTCCATATACCAACAGTGTACTTCTGACACTGGTCATTGGCCAGTCATCCCCAAGCTGTTGGACTTGATTGTCC